TGGACTTTGTTTTGTTTTTTAGTTCACCTTGGGTATATAAAGTAAATAGATGGATTATTAATGTTTAAGAAGAAAATAAACATTGATTTGGATGAAATTAACAAAAATATATAACTAGGTCAATAGGTACATTGAATTAGTTTTCTTCCTTTTCTTGACCTTCTCCTCCTCCTCCTTTTCTCCTCCTCCTCCTCTTCCTCCTCCTCCTCCTTTTTCTTCTTCCTCTTCTTCTTCTTTTTAATTATTTATTTGAAAGGCAGAGTTTACAGAGACAGAGAAGAGGTGAAACACCAAGAGATATCTTCCATCTGCTGGATCACTCCCCAACTGGCTGGAGCTGGGCTGATCTGAAACTAGCAGCCAGGAGCTTCTTTCAGTTCTCCCACATGGGTGGCAAGGGCCTAAGGACTTGGGCCATCTTCCTGTGCTTTCCCAGGCCATTAGCAGGGAGCTGGATTGGAAGTGGAGCAGCTGGGATTGAACAAGTGCCGGTATAGGATGCTGACATTGTAGGAGGCAGCTTTACTCACTAGGCCACAATGCCAATACTGTTTTCTAAGTTTTAAGAAAGAAATGGATACTTTGACTTCTTTCTCTAATTTGTATCCCTTTGATTTCTTTTTCTTGCCTAATGACTCTTGTGAAAACTTCCAGAATGATATTGAATAGCAGTGGTTAAAGTGGGCATCCTTTTCTAGTTCTGGACCTTAGTGGAAATACTTCCAACTTTTCCCCATTCAATATGATGCTGGCTGTGGGTTTGTAATATATTGCCTTGATTGTGTTGAGGAATGTTCCTCTTTCTATACCCTATAGAAAGGTTTTTTTTTTTTTTATCATGAAAGGATGATATATTTCATTAAATGTATTCTCTTTATCTAATGAATTAATCACATGGTACAGAAGTATGAAACAAGACTGCTACCTTACATCTCATACAAAATTCAACTCACAATGGATCAAGGATCTAAATATACACACTGATACCATCAAATCACTAGAGAAAGACTTCAGGGAAACTGCAAGATGTTGGCATAGGCAAAGACTTCTTGGAAAACACTCCAAAAGCACAGGCAATAAAAAAATGGACGAATAGAATTACATCAAGCTAAGAAGCTTTTGCACTGCAAGGGAAACACTCAAAAAAAAGTGAAGAGGCAGCTGACGGAATGAGAGGAAATATATGCAAACTATGCAATTGATAAGGGATTAATATCCAGGATCTATAAAGAACTCAAGAAACCCACCTACAAGGGCACAATCTAGTTAAGAAACAGGCAGAGGACATGAACAGGCATTTTTCAAAGGATAAAATACATATGGCCACACATGGGAGACCCAGAAGAAGCTGCTGGCTCCTGGCTTCAAATTGGCCCAGCTCTGGCCATTGCAACTGTCTAGGGAGTGAACTAGTGGATGGAAGACCTTTCTCTCTGTTTCTTCCTCTCTGTGTCTGTAACTCTACTTCTCAAACAAGTAATAAATCTTTTAAAAAAAGAAAAAAAAGTGAGGTTTCACTTCACTATGATTAGAGTGACTATCATCTATAAATCAAAAAAATAATAAATGCTGGTGAGGATGTGAGGAAAAAGATACTCTAATACACTGTTGGTGGAATGTAAAGTAACAGAACCATTATGGAAGACAGTATGAGATTCTTCATAAATCTGAAAATAGATCTACCATATGACACAGTCATCCCACTCCTGGCAATTCAACCAAATGAAATGAAATCAGCATATGAAAGAGTTGTATCCCCATGTTTATTGCAGCTCAGTGGAATCATCTCAAATGTCCTTCAGTTAATGGCTGGAAAAAGAAATTGTAATTATATATATATAATCATTATTATATAAAATCATTATATATATAGTCATTACATATAATGGAATACTACTCAGCCATAAAAGTAAATCCTGTCTTTTGCAACAAAATAGATACAACTGGAACCAATTATACTTAGTGAACTAAGCCAATCCCAAATAGACAAATACCATATATTTTCTCTGATATGTGGTAATTAATATTGAGTGTATATATATATATATATATAGGAATGAAACAGACATCTTGTTATTTAATTGTTGTATATAGCCCTTGTGTATGCTCCTGTGAAACTGTGATCTTTCTACTTTTTACTTGTTTATGGTTAGTGCATTAAGCCTGTTATTATAGAATAGACTGAAATTATGAATTCTGTTTTTGAAACAATAAAAAAACCAGAAAGGATAGAAGGAGGGAGATTGAGGAAGGAAGAGAAAGAAGGAGGAATTGTGGTTATCTTAGAACTGTAGCTATGAAACATGAAATATATTATCTTTATATTAATAAAAATTAAAAATTGAAATTCTAAAAAAAGAATAAATGGAAAGCTAACTTTGTAATTAAGAATAGAGAATGAAATTTATCAGCAATAGACAACACTTATAAATAGTATGTTTGAATTCTATATGTATCATAATTTTATTAGGAAGACACTCATGGAGAACTGAAAAGATACTGAAAATCATAACATAGAAAGGAAAGACAAAGAGACTAGTAGAAAGACAAAAAACAAATTAACAAGTAGAATTAATTAAGCGAGCATAGTGACTATGCAGATGCAGAAAAAGTGCTTTCAGGGATCAGACTTCATGTTAGGTCGCTTAAAATGCTATGTGAGTATTTCTTTAAAGTATTATACTTTTTTTACACAAAACTAGGCTTAGTAAGTATTAATATGTTGACATGAAATCAAGGGCCCAGGAAGGGATATTAGAAGAAACTCATGGATAAAGACTGAGAAGGTGAGATTATCAAAATAAGGTAAGTATATGGAGATGAAATGAATTAAGTAGAATGTCAGAAGATAATAAAATTCCCAACAGAAAATTTGGGCAGATAGTGCTGTAAAGAAAGGATTTTGCTCTTAACATGTTCTAATATGTAAGCATAACTCAGACAGTTCTTTTCTATCATTTATGTTGGCATTCAAAATTTTTCACAAAACGTTTTTTCCTGTTGCACATTTAATACCCATTTTGTATAGAGAAGAGCATATGTTAGATAGAGTTGTTAGAATAGAAGCAAATATGGTCACAGAAGAGGAGTAACAAAACCCAAGTGAGGTGTTGGTACATTGTGGGAATTGAATCACAGCCAACAACCTGGAGAAAAGCAAGAATTGCAAGTCAAACACTAGGAAGATACAATTTGTTGTCTTGGGGAAGTCTGGGAGTACACAATACCCTCATGTAGGATGCAGTTGTAACTGGACAACAGCATCAGAACTAGGTCTAAATCTCTATGAGCAGAAGTTTTAGAATCAGATATAGAAACAGGGCCAATGTGATGGAAATAGGAACAGTTGTCACTATCCTTAGACTTTTGAAATGGACCAAGAGAGTCAGCCCTGACTGATTGGAATGTTAGCCTGTGCTTATTCAGGCCCAGGAGACCTAGACAGAATTGATTAACAGTGGAGACTGTACATACACACATGAAAAATCCTTAGAGAAGGTTTGGTTTGATTAAGAAGAAATTCTCTATCCTGCCTCTTTCATTCCTGCCAGCCATTCTGGAAGTCTTAGTTGAGGGGTGCTAAAGTATAATTGCAAACTCCCTTTACTAGTGAAGAGAAAAAATTCTCAGTTACCTCTAACTGAGTTAGGATTGTTTCTAGAATCCTATGGTGCAGCTTGTAGATGATTCTATATTCATTGTGGATAGCTGGGATGCACTAAGATTTGTTACAGATAGACATTTGGAAAATTGCAAAAGCCAACCAGAGATGGCTATGGCTATATAGTGAAGAACCAGAATTAACTTGGAGACCAAATTCTAAAGAAATAAAATAAAAATGGGAATTAAAAAAATAAGTGCACTGGGGGACTGGTGCTGTGGCATAGTGGGTAAAGCCACCAGCTGCTGTGCCAACATTCCATATGGGTGCCAGTTCAAGTCCTGGCTACCCCTCTTCTGATCCAGCTCTCTACTATGATCTGGGAAAGCAGTGGTGGATAGCTTAATTGCTTGGGCCCCTGCATGTGTATGAGAGACCTGGAAGAAGCTCCTGGCTCCTGGCTTTGGATTGGCCCAGCTCTGGCCATTGCGACCATTTGGAGAGTGAACCAGCAGATGGAAGATCCCTCTCTCTCTGCCTCTGCCTCTTTGTAACTCTGCCTTTCAAACAAATAAATAAATCTTAAAAAAATAAGTGGTTCAGACAAATATTTGGTGCAGTTGTTAAGTAGCTGCTTATGATGTCTGCATCCAATATCAGAGTACCTGATTCAAGTCCCAGCTCTGCTTCTGATCCAGCTTCCTTCTAATGCCGACTCTGAGAGGCAGCAGATGCTGGCTCAAGTACTTGGGTCCCTACCATCCATGTGGGTGAGGTGGATTAAGTTTCTGGTTCCTGGCTTCAGTCTGGCCCAACTCTGTCACAGTCATATGTGAACCAGAATATGGAAGATCTCTCTCCATCTGTTTCTCTGCCTTTCAAATTAAATGTAAGTAAGTAAGTAAGTAAGTATTTTAAAAAGGAGAGGACATAGACTCCTCTGTCCCACTTCAAAAAATGAGTGGATCTTTGCTACTAGTAAAAATTTGGTTTGCTTAAAGCTGTGTTTTTCCACTTGTGTTTTTGTCTGTAAGCTTTGTTAGCATAGTTGTCTAATAGATGTTGCATCATCTGAGTATAACAATAGATTTAGTTCCAGAATACAATTGTTATATAACAAAAATTTCACTATGTTCGAGTAAAAAGTGAATCAACACAGTTTTGAGCTCTGCATGTCTTTTGTTTGCAGGGAGTCAGGCATAAATGAGCATTTGTCATTGGACTGTTCTAGTGCATTGCTAGCACACTGTGCCTTGGGCATGACACATCAGAATCTGATGTTTATTTTTTTCTTACCTGCCAGCCCCTGCTGGAAAGAGTCTCCATGGAATTCATCATCTGCCATCTTTGTGGGAGGAATATATATAAATACGTGTTGAATGCATTTGTTACTGATAATGTGGATTCCAAAGCTGACTTAAATAAAAAAGTGTTGAGATGAATGATGAAGGGGATCTTCTGCAGGAGGTATGGAGTTAATAATTAAAATGTTATTTGCTAAAATACTGACAGCAAAGTTTTTTATTGTTCTACATCAACTATTTGAGTTTCAGTAGGGCTAAGGGCAGCAAGATTATAGTTGTTATATGTTTGTTTTGGAAGAGTTTATGAAGATTCTTCTCTGCTACATAGTGAGTTTATAAATCTAATAAAAACTGAGCAATTCAGAATCTTATCTAGGAAAGCTCACTTAGTTTGAATAATGTTTTAAAATAACTTCATTATGTACTAGTATGCTATAAAATATTTATTCCTATTTTGCTTGTTATTGAGAGAACAGTCTTTGTTTATCTTGAAGTTTTTTTTCCCATTCTAATAAAAATGCTTGGAGATTAAATTACTAAAGATGAAAACCTGTTTTTAAATTATATTGATACATAGTATTTTAAATGGTGTTAGTCAATCATGGGAAATGGAGTATACTAAAATAACTCTTTGTCAATATGTAGAATTTCCCATCAGTTCTTAATGTGTATGTGCCCAACTTCTAGTCTAGTGTTTTTAACAGACCATTTTGAAAGATTGCAGTGTAGACGCAAGCTGTGGTCAAGTCTGGCAGATGTGGGTTTTCTTTAGATGAAGTTAAAATTTAATATAATAAACAAACCCACTAAGTGAAGGGAGCAGTGATTGGCCAAGGTACTGTGCATGAAAGAGTGGCATATAGATCTGGTCCCCTCTCCTTCTTCATCTGTTGGAGAAGATAGCTAACATCTAAGGAATAAAGGCACCACTGCTTCGTTTAATGATTGAAAACAATGTGCTTTCGGACAGAGAAAAGAACAAATGTACTTTCCAGGCTTACTGAGGAGGAAGTGTGTGTTATCCTAGTGTATGTCACTGTCATAAACATCAAATGATGAAAGAAAACAAATTTACTTGAAAGTTATTTTGTAGCTGCAGAAGATAAATTTGAGAAAAAAAGCAGAGGTGTGCAGTATGTACATCATTAACATTTTGAGAGTGATTTCTAACTATTTTACTTTTTCTTAGACTAGGATTCACTTACTAATACCAAGCCTTTGGCAGAATTGTGCTGTCTTCCCTGGTTCTCATAGCTGCAGGCCAGGATACCAGGTGATACAGCTTCTGTGACAATCCTTAGGAGACATACTGTTCTCAAGACCAGTCTACACCAAATGTGGATTCTTGTCTCTATGGAGAAAAGTAACCAATATGATTTTACAGAAACTCCACAGTGTTCACAGCCAAGAGACATACTCTATTTGGTGGTGAGAAGTGCCTTGATAATTGGAATAGACATTATGTTTAATAGACCTAAGAATGGTGAACCTCGGCTGGTCTAATGGTGAACCGTTAGACCTCATCTCTGCTGAGTATTCTCCTTTGTACTCTCCTGCATAAGGTTACATTCTCAGGAGGGAGAAGGAAAGAAATGGTTGTAGCATTCTCTTCTCAGCTAATTGCTGTGTGGAAAAGGACAATGACTGTGTTCCGTACCAGATGTTCTGGTAATGTGAGCAACAGCAACATAAAGTTAACTGTAAAAACACAGCAGCTGAATAGAGGCTCCATGGATTCAAAAGGGCAGATAGTGCCTGTGAAGAAAATCCCACAGGATAATCAATTCCCAACCCAAACAAAGTCTTTGTCTTTCAGTAAAAAGAACAGTGATTAATCTTAGATTTGATACATCCCTAAAGCAATTTTGGTCTTTAAAATCATGCCATAAAGTCACGCATTTTGCTAAACTCTCAGTGGTGGTGATCACACAAAGTAGACCAAACACACATTCTGCAGAGGAGACCCTAAGGATGTATGAAGTTGTAAAATTGAGGAAAATGGAAACCCAGCATAACAATTAAAATCTATGTGTCAGGAACTTCGTGTGTGGTATTGAGCTGTGTGATATGCCAAATGAGTTGGGTAAGGTCTGTTCTCTGTTCTGTACACCTTTATAACTCAATTCAGAAAACCTTGACATAGGTAGACACCAAAGGGGCTGTGTCTGCGCTTAGAAGTCCGTGTGCCATCTGTTGTGAGACCAGAGATTTGTCCTCATCTGCAGATCTTTTGGGGGCATTAAATGTATCCCTAGGGGGAGGCTCTGACTGCCCTTCCAGAGGTTGCCCCAAAAAGTCTGGAGATTGACTTACATGAGCTTTGCCTACTTTCTCTGCTTTATGTCATTGTGTCTGTGATTCAAAAGAGACTTCCTGATGCTATTTTTATATTTTCAATGTATTTTGTCTGTTAGGATTCAGAGGTTTTGCTTTCAGATTTCAAGATTTATAGCTCCTTTTATATTGATTTCTATTTACTTCAAACCTGTCTGATTCCTGTTTATTAAGTGGCTCTCTGTCTAAGAAATCTGGATGTTAAAAATTAAGTTTTTATTTCATGTGCAATAGTAAGTACACACTCCTGAAATCAGAATGTCTATGCAAGAATACTTTAAAAAGTTTGTGAAAAATTGAAATCAACAGTTTAACTTATCTTGGAGCAATATTTTTTGAAATCCATGCATCGTTTTTTCATAAGATGCTTTTTTAACTTCCATGAAACAGTGTTTTTGGAATTGAAATAAAATTCTTTTTTTAAAAAATATTTATTTTTTTGAAAGGCAGAGTTACAGTGAGAAAGAGAGAAAGAGGTTGAAACACACACACACATACACACACACACAGAGGTCTTCCATCTGCTGGTTCACTCACTAAAAGGCCACAACAACCAGGGTTGGGCCAGGCTGAAGCCAGGAGCCAGGAGTTTCTTCTGGGTCTTTCACATGGGTGCAGTGGTCCAAGCACTTAGGCCATCCTCTGTTGCTTTCCCAGGCCACTAGCAGGGAGCTGGACTGAAAGTGGAGCAGCTGGTAACCTTCCGCCTGCGTCGCTGGCACACCGGGTTCTAGTCCCGGTCGGGGTGCCGGGTTCTGTCCTGGTTGCCCCTCTTCCAGGCCAGCTCTCTGCTGTGGCCCAGGAGTGCAGTGGAGGATGGCCCAGGTCCTTGGGCCCTGCACCCGCATGGGAGACCAGGAGAGGCACCTGGCTCCTGGCTTCGGATCGGTGCGATGCGCCGGCCGCAGCACACCGGCAGCGGCGACCATTGGAAGATGTACCAACGGCAAAAGAAAGACCTTTCTCTCTGTCTCTCTCTCTCTCTCACTGTCCACTCTGCCTGTCAAAAAAAAAAAAAAAAAAAAAAAAAGAAAAAGAAAAAAAAAAAAGAAAGTGGAGCAGCTGGGTATCGAACCAGTGCCCATATAAGATGCTGGAGATGCAGGTGGCAGCATAACCTGTCATGCTACAGTGCAGGCCAGAAATAAAACTCTTAATTTCATTTTCCATGAACTTTTTGAAATACCTCATAGTTTAATATTGGCCCTAATACTGTGTGATTTAGGACAAGTTATTAGACTTTTGTGTGTCCCATTGGGACTTTACTTGTATCAGCTGGAGGAGAATTTGCAGATATTAAATTAGTGCTTAGGAGATAGAGAGCACACATTGAAAAGGAGTCATTTCTCATATATACTTTATTTTACTATCGGTTGATCAGCAGTAGCTTCTCTGAGTTTCCATTTTTACATCTTTAACACATTTTTTGCTTTTTCCTTTACATGATAGAATTTTATTTGCCTATGATAATAATACTAATTGTGTATGATATCCATTTATATAAACACATATCTATTCATCTAATTTAAGGCTTTCCAAAGAAAATGACTGGAATGATATTTAACATTCTAGTTATAAACATTTTATAGGATAGAACACCATTTCCTGTCATATTTAAAATATTCCATTTCATGAGGCTCAGTATTTTTATCTTCAGGATTTCAGCTGATATCTTCACTGAAGGTTCCATAATATTCTTGAATCTTTTTTCACACAGCATTATAGAGCCAATTGCCAATGTATATATGAAATATAAATGTAAATGTTTAAAATTTTTTATTAATAAAAATAGAACAGATTTCATGTATTTCATAGCTATAATTCTAAAAAGAAAACCATACATCTCTCTATCTCCCTCCCTCAATCCACCGCCTTCCTTCTTTCCTCTTTTTATTCTTTAATTTGTACAAAAAACATAATTTCAGTTCATTATATAGTCATCGGTTTAACACACCGCTAACCATAATATTCAACAAGTAAAAAGTAGAATGACTACAATTCTACAGAAGTATAAACAAAAGCTAAAAGGAACAATCAAATCACAAGATGTCTGTTTCTTTCCCATATTTTTTTTTTTGTGGTCTATGATAACTGCTACATATCAGAGAAAATATATGATATTTGTCTTTTTGGGAGTGAGTTATTTCAATAAGCATAATGGTTCCTAGTTGCATCCATTTTGTTGCAAAAGACAAGATTTCATTTTTCTTTATATATGAGTAGTATTCCATAGTGTATAACACCACATTTTCTTTATCCAGTCATCAGTTGATAGGTATCTATGTTGATGCCATTTCTTAGCTATTGTAAATTGAGCTGCAGTAAACATGGGAACACAAATAACTCATATATTGATTTCATTTCCTTTGGGTAAATTCCCAGGAGTGGGATGACTGAGTCATATGGTAGATTTTCAGATTTCTAAGAAATCTCCAAGCTGTCTTCCATGGTGGCTGCACCAGGTTACATTGCTACTAGCAATGTTTTAGTGTACCTTTTCCCCCCTACACTTTGTCAGCATGTATTTATTTGTTTATTTATTTATTTATTTTTGATTTTGGGATGATAGCCATTCTAACTGGAGTGAAGTGAAACCTCATTGTGGTTTTTATTTGCATTTCCCTGATGGCTAGTGATCCTAAGCATTTCTTCATGTGTCTGTTGGCCATTTATATTTCATCCTTTGAAAAATGCCTGTTCAAGTCCTTTGCCCATTTCCTAACTGGATTTTTTTGTTTTGCCATTGTTGAGTTTCTTGATTTTGTTATATATTCTGGTTATTAATTCTTTATCAGCTTCATAATTTGCAAATATTTTCTCTCATTATGT